AGATATCATATATATAATATATAATATTATATATAATATATTATAATATAATATATACAATAATATAGTATAATATAAATATTATATAATACAAAATATAATATGTAATTTATAATATAATATGAATATATAAATATTATATATGACATTAATATAATATGAATATATAAATATTATATATAATATTAATATAATATTATAATATAATATGTTATATTTATATATTTATAAATAATGTGAATAATATATATATTATATATAATAATTATATTATAAACTATAATAATATAAATATGTATATTGTATATTATAAATATAATATAAATTGGATTTCATAAAATAGTTCACCTTCAGTCCACACCTCGAGAGGTGTGGTTTCATTTTACCATGTTTTGGCCCTTTCGTGGTAAAATATTTTACCATGGTAAAATATTTACATATGCATTTGGAATGAACCAAACATGTGAAACACAATTTACATACGTAAATATTTTCAGGGAAATATTTATGTGGAAATATTTATGCACGAACCAAACATAGCCTAAGGATACTTGGATCCAAAAAACTCACCTGGGTTGTTTGGAAAAATAGTAGGGGTGTTTTGAATTGAATAGGTCTATTCTCAAAATTAATACAAGACAACAGGGGTTGATTAAATATCATTAAATATCTAACACATGACCACTTTACGAAAGCCACAGTTAGTATATAGTGATAGATTTGATGGACAACGTCTATCAATGGCATGTTTGTTTTGGCAATTAGGCCCCATTAAATTTAGTATTCTCATCCATTTTAATGAGGGATCTACTTGAAATTCTGATGCACCAAACAAAACTTCAAAACATATGCAAGTTCATAATGCTGATCATCACAAAATTGAGAAACATTTAATGATATCGGGAATATAAGCAGAAACCTGACTAGCTTCCAAGTGTCATTTACAGATCAAAATAGATTAGAATAAATAAGTTTTCATCGTCACACAGATACAAAATTATTAAATTAGCATACATCAGCAAGAAAGTCAACATACCTTGGAACAATTTATGCTACAAAACCAATTTCCCCCTGAATAAATTTGCAATTTCAGGAGCCCCATTTCATTCCAGCAACCAGCATGATCTGAAAATAATGAGATAAAAAACACAATCCACTTTTAGCATTTCGCACAGAAGCAAAAGGCCAAAAGAGATACATTGATTCAGAATGAAAACCCACATTGACGCTCGCACTGCTCACAGCACAAAGCTGCAGTCTCTGTGAAGTGATTGTTGTCATCATTGAATTCACCCCTCCCACATTTGGCACAACAGCAAGAGGGGCAAAACCATTTTCCTCCAGTCGAATCCTAAAGAATAAAACAGATCAGAACAGGAAGAGTCTCCAGGCCAAATATTAACAATGACTTAATATAATGTAGCTTATTCAAAATTTGTTTGATTTACAAGGCAAATGTAAGCTTTTGACGAAGAAATTCAAACACCAATGCCACTTGATTTCCTCACAGATATTTCAACATCAAATTCACCAAACACTTGAGTTAGTCTCTGTTGCTGTTTGAAAAAGCATATAAACAATTGCTAACTTTTTTCAATTAGATTTACGATCCTGCTTAAACGCATGCTTAAATAAACACACTGCTTTGTATATGAAACCAATACTGCCAAATTTTTCCAAATATAAATAAGGGAAAATATCTCCATATTCCCTATTTTTAGGTTTTATTTCTCGATAAACCCAAGGTTTCAGAAGATATCTTCTAACCCCCTGGCCACTTTAAACCTACTTTTTAACCTAAACAAATGTGAGAAAGACATACTCTTTCTAAACCCAATCCTTTCTCTCGCTTCAGTTATATACCCCAGACTTCTCTCTTTCTCTCTCTTCGTGCATCTCTCACTCTCTCTCTCCTCCTGTGTTTCTCCAAACACCTCTCTCTCTCTCCTCCTGATAACCTCTCACCTCCATGAAGCCCTTCTCTCTCTCTAGAAGTTTGGGAGGATGGCTTTTAAAAAATGCATGTCTTTTTAGATTTGTTTGGCCTAAAAAAAATGTTTAAATTAGTTCAGGGGGTAGAAGAAATAAAATCTACAATATTTATGCCCCAAGATATCTTTTGAAACCTTGGGTCTATTATGAAATGAAACTTAAAAATAGGGGGGATGGAGATATTTTCCCTATAAATCATTCTCGATCATGCCCTATAAAAGGTTAAAGTTCACTACCCTGATTTCATGAAGACCCAGCAAGAGAAACCAAACCTTCAATATTCAAATCTGAAATATGTAAATTGAAGAACATTAACCCACCCCCTAAGTTCAATAGAGAACTACCAAAAGTCTGAGATCATTTCCAAATATTTTATGAACAATTAAGCAGATAAAAATAACATAAGCAAGATCAACACTTGATATGCAGAAGATGGAGAGAGAAGAGTGAGCAGGATACCAATCAAGCCATAAAAAAGATAGAAAGGGATCAGTGTATAGAGTCTATTGACACAAAATATGATTATTTCAAGAGGACCAAGATATTGCAAATACTAATATGGGTGTCTCGAATTTAAGCATATATGATCCAGAATTCTTTAATTTTTCTCACTATTTTAACCACTACTTTAGTTCAATAGAACTTCCACAAACATGGAATCATCCCTAAAAGTTTTATGCATAACTGGCACAGACCTAGTAGTTTGGAGCTAGAGTTTAGCAAAGAAGAAGATAGAGAAGACCCAAAATTAGAGAAAGATTAAAAAACCAGATATAAAAGAAGGAGCACTAGCTTCTCTAGGGTTTCGAATAAAGTCCATAACAAGATGCTTCATTATGCTTGAGTAAATCTTTTATAAATGAAAACCCAAAACAAGACTAAATCCTGGCCATCTATCTAATTTAATTATGGCCATTCATTATAAAAGATTTTAAGTGAATAAAAATGACATAAAGACTCTAAAAATTACTACTTATACCCCTAAGTGAATAAAATGACTCAATGAATAAATAAAAGAAATAAAATGACAGATTCAATGGCTATTTTGCCTTTTTGCGGTTCCTCTTGTAAACTTTAAGCTTGTCTCTCTTATCTAGATACTCGAGAGAAGTATTCTGGGCTGCATCAACAACCTAACATAGACGAATAATGCGACCAAGATCAGTACTTCATATGAAGAGCCATAATATAGAGAGAAAGATGTGAATGGAGACATACAATACAATTATTGCATGAGGACTAAGATATTGCAGTGCTAGTGAACTTCCTGAATTTAAGCATATGTGCTAGCATTCTTTAATTATTCCAGTAATGCATAAAGAACATAAGAAAATCTGATGGGTGAGGCAACGAGGATAACATACAATAATGGTTACTGACCTCTATTCATATGCGGCTCAAGTGACTCAATTTTAGTTATAAACCACAACAAAAGATTACTGGAGTTTGCTGTGGGAGGACATTAGACAACAGCAATCATGACTTTTCTGTGAAACCAGGTTATTTATTGACCTTAAATTGCCTAGACATCCAACCCAATTAAGCAAATGTCTAGATCTACAAATTTATCCAAATGATATTGCCATATGTAGAATTCATGTCCCTGGTTAGAAATTACACATCTTAGAACTCCATGTACAGCCCAGAGATCAAAGTTGATCCCTCAGAGGTTTTGGAGGGAGGGAGGGAAAGAAGGAGGGGGAGCGAGAGAGATTTTGCCAGAGGGAATTGACGTCACTCCAAGTTGCTCGCCTTTATACTAGGAGATCAACTAAAAATTATTCCAGAACAATTTGAGTTCCCATAAGGCATTAGGTATCAAATGTTTTTTCTTTGAGTAAACTTAGCCGGTTCCAAACAACAGATCAACTACAAATTTCCTTTGAGAGAAAAATGAGAGCAGGTTTCGAGTTTAACTAGGCATTTCATATCAAATCATTTCTTTAAATGTGCCCACGAAAAGACTCTTAGAATGCTTGACTAATCCCGCTCATGTATAGCCATATCATCCATGGGGAAGGGATTGTGAACCAAGGAGATTTGCTTACTATATCCGAATATCAAATGATTTCTTCCTCACAAGCAGTGCTCATTCTGGTGGGCATACATAAAATGATTGACTCGGTCCTACCTACCCCATGACAGGCTGGTTTTTTGTCCAAGAGCAGCACGAGGAGCCTGACCTAGCTGATGCAAACTAGTCATAGGGGTGACCGACCCATCTCGGACTGGTTCAAAACGAAATTGATTAGTGTGTGCCGCTGCTGGATGATTGGTACAAGGTGGGAATGAAAAAGCAAGTACATACTATTTAGTAATTCTTATAGTGATACTCAAGAACAGTGCTTGATCTCCACCATCCATGGTAGAGAATGCATAGTGGATAGCCCAGCGGTGTACTGTACATCATACACAAGATGTGTGTGATATATTTCCCTGTCGGAAGATCTTTCTTAAGCGCAAATGTTATCAAAGTCTAGGACCTTAACAAGTTCTAGTGACACCCCAAATAACAAATGAATGTGAAAACTTTCTACCTTATCCATTAAAGTGTGCAAATACAATAATAGTTCAAATAAAACAATAATTGACAAAAACTTTTGTCGAATGTTGTATTTATGGGGACATTTGATACGGAATAGTCCGACTACTGTAATGATGACCTCAAATCTTAATGGATACCATTTAGTGAATGATGCAAACATTAGCAACAATATCTAAAAGAAATCAATCATCATTATCATCAGAGCCTTTTCCCAACTATTTGGGATCGGCTACATGAATCCTGATTTGTCATTTTGCTCTATCAAAAGCCATACCCTCAATGAGGTCATAAGTCCCCATATCTTTCTCACTACTTCCAACCATGTCTTTTTGAGCCTACCCTTGGCCTTTTTTAGCCTTCCACTTAAACTAACTCGTACCTCCTAACATGTGTTATACTGGGTCTGCACTGTACATGGCCAGCCCATCTAAGTCTACTTCCTCTCATCTTATCGCCTATTGGAGTCATGCCTAAGTTCTCTTGAATGTATTCCTTTTGAATCCTATCACTTCTTGTCTTGCCACTCATCTATCTCAACATCCTCATCTCAGCTATACTCACCCTATGGATAGTTTCTTGATTGCTCAATATTCTGCCCCATAAAGCAAAGCTGAATCATTGATTTCCTATAGAAATTTTCCTTCATCTTCATTGGTATGCGGCAATCACATAAAACCCCAATTGCACACCCCTACTTCGCCCACCTAGCTCTAACTCTATGTGTGACATCTTCCTCAATCTCTCTATTTTTCTGGGTTATCAACCCAAAACATTGACAGTGCATTCTTTTTTGTTTCTTTGCCATCAATCTTAAATAATTTATTGTCATTGCTCGTATTATTACTAAACTTGCAATCCATACACTCTGTCTTTGTCCAGCTAATTTTAAAACCTTTAGATTCTAGAGTCTCCCTCCAAAGTTCTAACTTTGCGTTGATGTCATTTCAGGTTTCATCGATCAAAACTATCATCCATGAACAACCAAAAAAATCAATCTTAGAAGTACTATATTCAGGTGAGAAGAGATAAAACAGAAAACGATGTCTAACGGATGGTTAAAGTAAAATGGTAATGTCCAAAAGAATCAATCTCCATTTTGTAACCTTTTTCTATTCTTTAAACTCCCTAAATAGCATCTTTTGGTGGCCCCAAGGGGGTCGTTACATTTCTTGAACCCGTGGGAGTTTTGTACAGGATAACCATTCCGTAGGGTGCCTACTCTCTTCTTACCCCTTCTGTATCTATTTACCACTATACAATGAATATGATCCAAAAATTTAAAAGAATAACCAGGTGAGAAAATAATCAAAGAGAAAATCTTGCTTAGCAAAGAATAGCTAATGCTATCTCAAGACCTAGAAAAATTCGGTAGAATTCACCCCAAAAAGAAGGATCTATACCTTTTGATCCAGGCAATCCAAATGATATGCAGATGAGCAACGATGGCATGTCACTAAAGTTTCTCCATGGTGGCAGACAGAGCATATCTTATCAGTCTTGTAATGGCCATATTCTCTCTTCTTTCTCTCACAAGATGTTTGTATTAAGCCTTTTAGCATACTTCTACCCAACATTTTCTTTTGGCACTGATAAAGTGATGTTCCGTTCACTAAGGAAATCTTGGTTGATGGGGTCTTAACATGGGCCTCAAAATCAGCAATAGTATAGATCTTGTGGCAACAGTCACACATAATTCCTTCTGGACGTACTTTCCCCTTTCTTATAAGGGAATCATCCTCACTGTCCAATTGATAATATAATTCTTCATTTAGTGATATCAAACGGTTATTGATCATCCAAGACAAAACAGTTTGAATAGAGGGAGTATGAGACACAGATAACTCATTCCTGGGTGTCTTGCAGAGTCCCAAGCCATTCTTACATTGAAGTGAGACATCAGAAACCTCATTTTCTTCTCCTTTATTTTCTATGGTGGCAGCCATAAAGGCGAATTGATATTGTCCTTGTCTCTCACCAGGAGAAGCCCTCTCAGTACAAGATGAATGCAAAGAGGATGGTGAAGCAGAAAACTTTACTACATCAACCTCTCTATCAACAAGGACATGCCCAGTTACTTCCTCTCTCTCCTCATCACCAACTCTACCGTCCCATGCCTCCATAGATTTATTAGCAAAGGAAATATCCCTCTTGCTGCTTCCTCTAGTGCTACGCACCTTTCTGGTAGTAGAAAAGGACAAAAGATCTTGTATGTCTCTCTCACCAATTTTAGTAAACAATGAATGCCAAGTGTTCCTCTTGAAGCTTCTCCTAATGCTCCGCAACTTTCTCGTAATAACCGGAGACCCAAAAAGATCATGTCTTTTTATCTCGTCACAAGAGACGTGTTCAATAGTGTACCTCTTGCGAATTCCCCTAGTGTTGTACACCTTTTGGGCAGTAGCCTGAGAGGCCATAACATCTTGTCCTTCTCTCCCACGACAAGAGGCTCTCTCAGTACAAACAGAAAGTGAAGAAGTTGGAGGAGCAGGATTTACCATATAACACTCTCTATGCTCAAGGCCATGTCCAGGTACTCTATCTCCCTTCTCTCCAAGTATAGTTTCCCTCATCTCCACAGATTTGTTAATGAGAGAAGAATATCTCTTGCATTTTTCCACATTCCTATGCACCTTGTTTATACCTTCTCTCCCCAATACTATGCAATCGGAATCAAGTTGCTCCATAGATTTCTTAGTAAAAGAAGAATCATTTTTGCAGATTCCATTGGTGTAGGGCATCTTGTCTATGCCTTCTCTCTCTAATGCTGCACAAGCAGTATAGAGTGAATTGTAGCTCTTCCCAATTGGTGAAATATACCTTGTTTCAAACCTCTCGTTCTTCTGCTTGTAGAGAAAATGCCACCCCACCGCTTTGAGATGCTCCATTGCCTTCGTTACCATTTCTTTATTAGTCTTTGCCTTATCATCATTATCGAGACGCCTCTTCTTGAATTCAAGAAGATAATCTGTTATAGCTTGGGGACAGTACACTGCCTTTAAATGTTTGTGCTTATCGATGAGAACCCAAGATTCCCGCCCATAAGAAGGCCTTGATTTCAAATTGATGTCATTGATATTTTTGAGAGAATTTGTGGGCAATGAGAGATCTTCCATTTCAAGATCAGATCCCCTTGTCCCAGTAGATGATCCACCAAGTATCCCATCATCAGAAAAACAGTTGATGGAAGTTGAAAGGTTCAGAGTCCCTTCTTCCATGATGTCAGTTTTAAATGCAAGTTGGGGATTATAAACTCTTGAATTTGATCCATTTGAAAACAAAGATGAATAGGCATTGGTCCCCATGACTTCATCATCCACTGAGATTCGATTATGTTTCTCAGTCTGCTCTCTCGCTGCCCATTTAGCCCGATTGAAATCAGAAGCCAAACAATCAGAATTAGATAACAGTGCAAATTGAGCTTCTCGAATGGTGCCATTTATGAGCTTTTCCCACAAAGAAATCTGCCCACTGTTCCATTCTAAAATCCTCTGCATAAACTCACTCTTCATCCTCACTTCATACCAGAGGCGTTTCAGAGGGAGAAACAACCCCTTTTTTTGGAGATTCTCTACTACTCCTATCAATGGCCAGTGTCCTCTAATCCGCCACTGCCCCGAGAATTCATCCCAATCCTGAGTTATACGTATATTGCTAAGACAATCTCTTTGCTCGTCTCCTTCATCAGGGAAAAACACTGTTTCCTCAAGAGACCCATCTTCTCCTACATTCTCTATAACCACACCTTCCCACCAAACATCATTGAACAGGACATCCACACAAAGGCCATGAACCAAACTTTGATGAGAGACAGGAGGTGGTGGGGGTCTGATCCTTCCTCTATATTGGTTCGAAGAACCCAAGATTGTTGGTGTTATTGGTATCAAATCAACTAAGTTTGTGTTGTCTAAATTTTTATGGTGGGTGTATTCAACAGACCAAGACCATGTTGATTCTGAGAAACCCAAGATTGTTCCATGGTGCCATGATCCTCTCAGCCCTTCATCAACGAGCCGCACCTACATTGTCAAAAAAGCCATCAAAAGGAAGCTTGAGAAACAGGGTTTGAAAAGATAGACAGCTAGAGAGAGAGAGAGAGTAAAATCCTGGAAGAGTAATTTTGCAGGGATAAAATCCTTCAATTAGGTTCTCTTTCAAACCAAAGAATGGAAGTATGGGGAGCGAAAAGGGAGAGAGAGAGTACAAAGAAAAAACAGGCGACAGTGAAAGAGAGAGAGAGTACCTCTGAAACACAGAGATAGATTCAAAGCAACAATCAGCATTAAAGTAAGAGATAGAGAGATCATTGATTAATTCACATGCAAATAAACGGAGAAGAGAAAGTAAAGAGGAGGAAGCACAATGTTAAAGAGAGAGTACCTCTGAAACACAGAGATAGAACCAAAGCATGAGTCCATATTAAAGTAGGAAAGAGAGAGATGATTAATTCACATGCAAATAAACGGAGAAGAGGAAGTAAAGAGGAGGAAGCACAATGTTAAAGAGAGAGTACCTCTGAAACACAGAGATAGAATCAAAGAATGAACCCACATTAAAGTAGGAAACAGAGAGAGAGACTTGATCAATTCACATGCAAATAAACGGATAAGAGGAAGTAAAGAGGCGGAAGCACGATGCTGAAGAGAGAGTACCTCTGAAAAACAGACATAGAATCAAAGCAGGAATCGACATTAAAGTAGACGAAATAAATGGATAAGAGGAAGTATAGAGGAGGAAGAACAATGCTGAAGAGAGAGTGCCTCTGAAAAAAGCAGGAATCAACATTAAAGTAGAGGAGAGAGAGATAGAAAGTTGATTAATTCACATGCAAATAAACTGAGAAGAAGTCAAGAGGAGGAAGCACAATGTTGAAGAGTTTTGGAAAGATAGAAGAGAGATTACCTCAACATGTTCTCCAGTTCTCAGAAGCCCACCCTCTTCGCCTACCTGCATCTGCTCAGTGTTTGATCGATATCGGCTCCGTGAGTTCGGTTATCTGGAGAGAAGAATCAGTTACAAGGTTGCCTCTCTCCAGTTAGCAGCCTCTCTCCTGTTATCAGTCTCTCTCCAGTTATCAGAAACCCACCCTCTTCAGGTCTGAGAAACCCACCTCTTCAGTTCTTCAGTTCTCAGAACCCACCCTCTTCGCCCACCTGCAACTCACCCTCTTCGCCCACCTGCAACCCACCATCTTCGCCCACCTGCATCTGCTCAGTAGAACTGGAGCCCACCCTCTTCGGCTACCTGCATCTGCTCAGTGTTTGATCGATATCGGCGAGTTCTGTTATCTGGAGAGTGTTTGATCGATATCGGAGTTCGGTTATCTGCAGAGAAGAGTAAAATCAGTTACAGGGCTGTTCATAAAGGGATATAAAAGGGATTAAGAAGAGAGAGGGGTTATTTATTGGCTGAGATCAAGGAAATATGAATTACGATTATCAAAAATAATAGGCAGTTAGAATGTTATAATTTGCCAGGCATTACGCTTTGATGTATGCAAAACTGTCATATCTGATGGAAATCTTTTTAAGAAAAATCCAAATATTTTTATAAAAATATGATTAGTACGGATTAAGTGAAGGTTAATGTTATTATAAGTTTGCAACCTTAAACAATCCAATTATGCGGCACCTCTAAATTTTATCCTAAAGGTTATGTTGTTATAAGGTTGCAACCTAAACAATCCAATTAAGGGGCACCTCTAAATTTTATCTTAACATATAATTTTGGTATAAAAAACTCTTAGGATTAACTGAAATTTTATTTTTATACCTAATTATAAAATTTTAAAGTCCAGAAATGGTTAAAATCAAGTGGATCTATAAATATATGAAAATCTTGAAAATTGACGATCTAGACTCTTTTTTTTATTTTCATATTCATACGTCTCGATGTCTAGACGATCAATTCGAGAGTTTTTCAATATTAAAACTTTTTCGATGGATTTTTGAGGTGCATCTGTAATTCTACATTTTAATATTACAACTTTATATTGTGCTAACATGATTAGTTGGTGCATGGTCCTAGATTCCACCCTATGACGCCTCAATAGCCTTAAAGATGAAATATTGATCCACTTGAGGGATTTTGATGTTTCCTTTGTACATATTGTTAGAGGTTTCATTTCGAACACCGACCTACTAGATAACATAGTCACATCCTAAAAATTGTAGGCTTTTATATCTTTTACATATAATACTAATAACAATAATAATACAACCTTAAACATCTATATGATCAGAAGATATTTGCTTTATGTTGAAGTTCATAATTTGGTCCCAATTTGATTATATAGTACACGATGGCCTTTCTCGGTATTCTATTTTATATGCATTCTCTATGTTCATGTTAGTCACAGACATAAGTGTATACACGTGAACCCGAGATCGACCAGACTAAGAGATATCTGATATGTCCGAGATTGTATCCAAACTTAGTTATTTAAAGGCTTATTCTTCGCAAATCTGTAGTCGAGCCAGCTTAGATAGTATGAAATCCAAAAGAAACACAAACAAAAGAAAACATAAATAACAAAACTAATCTAAAAAAACTACTGAAGAAATAATGATGATGCAATAATAAAAACAAAGGTAAATATTCATTTTTAATCTAAATAAACTTAAAAGAAATTAGGAATAACTGATTTCCTAATAAAATAAAACTAAATAACTGAGAAAACAATGAATCAAAGTAAATAATAGAGAAAGGAAGAAAGAACATGGAAGTCTGATCCCTAAGGCCTGACACTTAGAGTTATGCCTGGATCAGACCATAAAGATTGAATCCTTACTTCATGATCTTCAAGTTGATGATCGTGAATGATTGATTACACTCTAGGGAAGAGAGACATGCCTAGGAATTCTACATTCAGGGCTTTTTGTTGGCCTAAAAATGTTTGTTTTGATCTCTACATATGATTGAAGAAGGGTTCTAGATTTAGGGTTTGAATGGCCTAAAGCTAGAGCTTAAAATGTTGTAAGTTCCTATGACTGGGAATTAGGGTTAAGATTTCTATTCATATCTAGCTCTTTTGAAAAGTCTAGGAAAATGTCTTTTCATTGCAAAAATCTACCCCAAAACAAGAAGTCACTAGCTCGAATTATACAAAAGTGCCACATGGACTACACCGCAATATCCAGTGTAGATTTCCTCTCACCTACACCATATTACAGTGCTGAAAGGATCTCACTGATTGATCAGAAGATCATGCTGAGTCTAATGATGGTGGTTTGATCGAATTTGGATGCTTATAAATGGTCGTGGTGCGTGATTTCTCATTTTTAGGTTATAGAAACTTCTTCTAAGGCATGAAATGAGTGTATCAGAGACATAGTTGGTTTTATACCGGGGGCAACAACCAAGTTATTTTCCTACTTAAGCAATTGATTGAGAAGCAATTGATTGAGAAGTTTATGGTGAAGAGAAAAGACATCTACATAGTCTTTATTGATCTAGAGTAAGCTTATGATAAAGTACCTCGGAGATTTAATTTGGTAGGTATTGGAAAATAAAAGAGTCTCTAGACACTACATCGACTTGGTGAGAGATATGTATGATATATCGCTAACTAGTGTACGAACAACCAGTGGAGAGACGAGTGAAGTTTTCGGTGACAATAAGTTTGCATCAAGGGTCAGCATTAAGCCTATACCTCTGTCAAAGTTATGGACGACTTAATTAGGCACCTATAATATGATGTACCATGGTGTATATTATTCGTAGATGGCATAGTTTTGATCAATGAGACCGCAAACAATATCAATACAAAGTTAGAACTTTGGAGGGATGCTCTAGAATCTAAAGGTTTTAAAATTAACCTAACTAAGGCAAAGTATATGGATATAAGTTTAATAACAATAGAAGTAGGCACCTATAATATGATGTACCGTGGTGTTTATTATTCGTAGATGGCATAGTTTTGATTGATGGGACCCCAAATAACGTCAACACAAAGTTAAAACTTTGGAGGGATGCTCTAGAATCTAAAGGTTTTAAAATTGACCTAACTAAGATAGAGTATATGGAATATAAGTGTAGTAATGATAGAAGTACGCACCTATAATATAAGGCATTGTGGTGTATATTGTTCGCAGATTGCATAGTTTTGATCAATGAGATCCCAAACAACATCAACATAAAATTAGAACTTTAGAGGGATGCTCTAGAATCTAAAGGTTTTAAAATTAGCTTAATTATAACAACGTATATAGAATACAAGTTTAGTAATGATAGAAGTAGAGATAGGGAAGTAGTTAAGATTGACTGCCAAGAAATACCAAAAAGAGCGTAATTTCGATATATTTGATCGATAATCCAGGAAAATGGAGAGATTGGGGAAGATGTCACACATAGAATTAAAGCTGGATAAAGTGGAGATGTACAACCAGAATTTTATGTGATAGTCGCATACTTATGAAGCTGAAGGTCAAGTTCTATGGATAACTGTGAGACCAACTTTGCTCTATGGGGTGGAATATTAGGTGGTTAAAAACCAATATACTCATAGAATAAGTATAACAGATATGAAGATGTTGAGATGGATGAGTGGCAAGACAAATAAATTAATAAAACAAATTATCATCTAAAAACTAATCCAATTCTGCTCAAAGGTACTGGTTGGGCTCAATATCCGAATGACCAACTTTTGTAAGTTTTGAGTACTACACCCATGTTGGCTGCAAATTGATTATAAGTTACGATTATATATGAAATACAAAAACAAACAGCAAAAAAGAAACTTGAACTTGATGATTGGATAAAGTATATTATTACCTTGATCAATTTTAGTCATTTGTTTCATCGCCATTGGACTCCCAAATGAGTTCAATATGTACTTGTAACTTATTAGCTTATCAATGCATATAATGTATTGGAGATTCTTATTAGGGACTAGCACATCTAGACACTTATTAATCCAGATACAATTGTTCCATTTTTGGGTATATCCTTATCAACATAATGAAAAGCTGGTTTCAAATAATAACCAGCTGCATACAATTGTCGATGTGGCTGCCTATTCTATTTCTCATTAATAATCTTCCAAACTGGCTCATCGCAGCTCACATCATTATCTAAGTTGTGGGCTACATCTCTCTTGCAATCTTCCATTACCTCGTATATGTGGCCCATTGAGGGCTTATCACTGTCAACCATGTGAAGGGCGTTGACAAAAAGCCAAAAAGCTTTAGATACCACAATTTCTCTCACCATCTTCCATTTTTTATCCTTGGTCCACTTGCACGCTCTCCAATCATAAGAGGTGAACATCTGACTCAACTGGACTCTCCTTGAATTGCTATGTAGGCATGGGTATTAAATAGCAAATCTCATGATCCCCAACCTCACTATCTCCTTCTCTTTGTAAATCGACACATTTTCCTGATGGTGAGTGTGTGGTTATAAATGAAAGTTGTAACTGACCTAGCCTTATTATCTATACTTGCAATCTCGTTCAAACCTCCAATAATCTCAAGCATGAGGTCTATATAATGTGTTATGCATGGTGTGCAAAAGATATGAGGGTAGGTATCATGCGTTGGTCGATCTCGATTGCGACGACATGGCGTACGTGGTAGAGGAGGGTGAGGATGAGGTTACTAGTGCCCGACCCTATCTCCAGCACCGTGTCAGTCGGCTCCACTCCGACCTTGAACACAATGGCGTTGAGCACACGCTGGTTGGTGAGCAAGTGTTGCAACGGCTCAAGTGTGGCAATGGCTCGAGTGACTAATAAATATAATCGTCATGTATCTGGCATTCATGGCACCTTTTAGAACATTTGAATGCATCATTCGCCATCGTGGGCTAAAAATATCTTATCTGATGCAGTTGATGATATAACTTACGCCCAGACTGAGGTGTGTGCTATACGCAATAAATTAGCAGCAATAACATTATGACTAGCATTATCGGTGACAATCTATCTAACATGCTGCTCCCCAACTTCCTTGATGCCCTTCTCCAACACTTTAAAAAAGTAATGGGAACCATGGCTATCATTAGAGGCATCAATAGATATATATAAAAAACATCCCTAATGGATAATTCACTTACAAATTCATCCGACAACTTATCTTCTTGTGATTATAAGTATCAGTTATAATAGAAACCTCATAGTGGCCCAAGTATTCCTATGTGACTCCACAATATCTCTCGTGATATTTGTATCTTTTTTCAAAATAGGCTCTAAAAAGTCATAACGGGTTGAGGGCCTCAACCCATGCTCAAATTGGCCAATTGCCTCTACCACGGTGTAGAAGCTGCTTAAGCGAGCGACATTGAAGGGAATGCATGCCTCTTAAAAGCATCGAGTAATGTACTGAGCAATTATCTCTTTCTTTCTTTCTTCTTGATTCTATTTTCAAAGGTTGTTTGCTTCTTTAT